GTTCCCCGCAGCGGCCGACGTCCGCCAGCTCCCCGGGCCTTTCGGTGCACTTCGTGCCGCGGTTGTTCTGAGAATAGGACTAGCGCAGCTTCACGCAGTTGTTTTTCCCTGGTTAAAGTCTGTGATGCATTTAAAATCCACGGGGACTTTTTTTTTTTTCTCATAACGTTCGTTCACAGGATTAAGCTCTCTGTTATTTGATATTTATTTTTTCTGTACTTTATAGAAAAATGGAAATCGCCACTCCTCCAACATCGAAGTGTATTATATACTGGAAAAGAAAAGTCAAGTCTGAATACATGCGTCTCCGGCAGCTCAAGAGGTTTCAGGCGAACATGGGAGCTAAGGTAAAGCCCTCGCTGAACGGGTGTCTCCTAAATGCTTCGCTCTCGCTTGCAGTAGTTGAGCAGCTGTCGGATGGGCGATTCATCCTGCGAGCTGGTGTGTTTTAGTTGCGGGCTGGGCGAGTTGGAAGAGATACCACTTCTCCTCACCTCCGTTATTAGCCTCGGGCTGCGCAGCCAGTGTCTGCCGCACGTAGGCTTGCGTAACTGCAGCGAGAGGACTCGTTTCCACTTGTTCGTTAAAGTGTCTCCCTACTTGAACGCTCTCAGTGCGGGTGGGTTTCTGATGACTCGCTCTGGTGCTCCTCTCCTTGGCAGGCAGGATTTTAGAAGGGGTTGGCTGGGCTCAGGAGTTGCCAAAAGCCACTGGCTGTTGGGTAGATTTTCAGCACAGTTTTGTTTCCCGTGCTGAGTTTCATTAGAGTTCCTTCTAACGAGTGTCATCAGGTGGAAGTGCTCTGCCTTGCATACATTTTGATACTTGAAACAAAATCTCGGGAGGGGTTTTAGTGTTCCCAGCACGATTTCTTAAATTTTGAATGCTGCTTTCTCTCATTTCAGGCTCTGTTTGTGGCCAACTTTGCGAAGGTTCACGAAAAGACTCAAATTCTGAACGAAGACTGGAAGAAGCTTCGAGTCCAGCCAGTGCAACTGATGAAGCCAGTCAGCGGGCATCCCTTCCTGAAACAGGTGTGGAGAGGAGAAGGGGCGCGGCAGCCGTGGGTGTGGACTGGAACCAGGGCTTTGCAGGGAGCCGTGAGGATACGGGATCGTTTGTTGTGTGTACTGTCCGGTGTTGGTGTCAGGCCGTGCCTCGCGCTCTTCGGGGATGCAGACATGGGCAAAAAAAACCCCAAGGCTTTTCCTGTGAAGGGGTCCCGAGGAGCGAATGCGGGGCTTTGCTGTGTTTGCCCTAGGTGCGGTTTCCCTCTGGCTGTGGCTGCCTCCTGCGGGTGGTTTCCTCACAGCCCTTCTCTGTGCTCTATTCCAGTGCACTGTCGAGAGCATTTTCCCGGGGTTCCCAAGCCAGACACTGTACATGAGGACCCTGAACACGGTGGCGCTGGTGCCCATCATGTACTCCTGGTCCCCTCTTCAGCAGAATTTCATGGTATGTGGGAAGACTCTGGGGCACAAGGTCTTGGTGCAGCTGGTGTGTGATTGTTACATGGTTGTGGGGTGATTATGCCTTCTTCAAACCACTTGTTTCAAGCAATGTCTGCTTGAGAGATAACAGACAGTGTTGGTTTGGTGGCTTGTTTTGTTGAATCCCATCAAACAGCCTTGCATCCTGCTGCCTTACCCGGCTGGTCTCTCCTTTACGCTTGGCGCCTTCATAGGGTCACCGTTATTTCCCAGGATTCAAGGAGTAAATGTGGTTTGGTTTTGCTCTTTTTTTCTTAAGACTTCTCTTCCCTTTTAAATGAAGGGTTTTATTTCCTAGGCAGGCCCTTCCCTCTGTGACTGGGTGACCCTGCTGGTCTCATTGTCAGGATGCTACCGAGGATTAGTTCCTCTATGGTAGCAGTGAGGGGAGTGATTTAATGCAGGTTTTGGTGTGGTGGAGTTAAGATGACTTGTGAAACAAAGAGATGGTCTGTGGCTGGCCTGGCTTTTTACCTGGTGTGGGGTGTGCACGTGTTCCTGCAACCTGCGGAGCTCCCCGAAGCCCCCCGTAGCAGACTGGGGGCTGTGACACCAACGACTGTGCGCAAAGAGCCGGCCGGTGGTGCCGTGACAATGCAGGTCCAGTGTCCTTGCTCCTGTGGTTCCTGCGAGAACACTCCTCAGTTTTGGCTGTTCCTCCAGGGGCTGAGTTACCAGTTTGCCTTTCACTGCTCCAGTTCTGCTCTGCCTTGAACACAATCTCTCTGACATTTTTTGGCTGTTTATTGCTCTTGGCAATGTGTGTGTTTCTGAGGTTCTGTAAGCCTCGAGGCACTGCGCTGCTTTTTGAAAGCAAATTGCACTTTTAGGGGTCAGAGTTGTGCTGCTGGCGTGGGATAACAATGAAATGTCAGCGATGAGACATCTGATGCTGCAGCCGGGGAGGCTGCACCGCTGGGTTGCTCCGTGCTGCCTGCGGGTCTGAACGGGCAGGAGCAGCCTCCGACCCAGCCGGGCTGGGCCTCACGGGCGCTGGCTTTCTGAATCGTGTCGGATCTCTTTTCAGGTGGAGGATGAAACTGTTCTGTGCAATATCCCTTACATGGGAGATGAGGTGAAGGAAGAAGATGAAACGTTCATTGAAGAGCTTATTAATAACTATGATGGGAAAGTCCACGGAGAGGAAGGTAACCTGGGAGCAGTCAGCACTGCCGTTCAGTCCTGCAGATAGCACAGCAGAGCAGTTAAGGAGTCAAAAGGTGGCAGCAGTAACCAGTGTTCCTGTGGGAGCGCTGGGAGCAGAAAACCAGGAACGTGCCTGCTGTTCTGGATTGCGTGGACCCAGCCTTGCCTTTCGATATCGCGCTCCCTCCTAGGCCTGGGGTGCTCTGAAGCCGACGCTCT